TTATCAATGTATAATGATAGAGTATTCCAAAAGTAGCTACGTGCCTTTACAATTTCATCCAGTTTGCAGTCAAAAAGAGCATGCATTTCATCACCAACAGACTGATCAGAACACAGTGTGCAAAATCTTTGCTCTGAGGGTATTTTTTGGTATCTTAATTTTTCAATTGGTAATGTATGTGCTGAAATTCTAAATTTGGTTACACTTACTGTGATTTAAATTATTAATTTTATTCAGAAATGGTTCAAATTCATAATCTGATTTGTATTTATTGTAAATACGTAGTTTATTATGTTTATTTTTTCATAGTAAATTCTTTTAAGATTGTTTCTAAAAATGTTAGCATTATGATCCGTTTCATTTAATCAAGTTATTTCAAGTAGTTTGCTAACAAAGTTTGCCCATGAATTACTATTGATTGCACACTCTGACTGATAAGCACAGTGCACTATATATATGTCAGGCATATGTCAAGCAAAGGATTTCAAAAATAGTTTTTTACAAATGTGACCTGTCTGATTAGATTTTGGTTGAAGCTATGAATATTAATTACTTAATTTGCATAATGATTAGGCAATTTACAGCTTCTCTATTGATGTATGTACCTTAAGAACCACTCAACACATTTAATTTGTTTAAATATTTATATTCTACTTTACTCAATGTATATTACTGGAAAATACTTTTCGCTAAAAATTAATTTTCGCTGAAGGAATGATTCAGTGAAAATAAAATTAAGCGAATATTCTTTTTTTCAAATATTTTACATTAAACTTGTCAAAAATCAGTGAAAATAAAATGCATACAAAACACCCAAAATGTTATTTTAGCGAAAATTAATTCCAGCTAAAATAAAGTATTTCTCAGTATCCAATTATTAGCTTTTCATTACATCTAAATACCCCTTCAGATTTGAATGACACTTAGTGTATTAATATATTATCAATTATTAACTGCTTACATATGAATATGAAGATCGAATTCAGAAGTTTATTTGTACAAATCATGTGTGAATTTGAATTTTATCACCGACATGCATCGGTTGCTCGTTTCCTTACATATTAAGGTTGTGTATTGTGTTACCAGCGATTAATGCAGACACAATATTGTCATTGGCCCACGTTGCACAAGTGACCGTCTTTGTGGTTTTCTGCATCTGTAATGACAATATTGTCATAGTAATCGAGTTGTCGAACCTGTCCGTACTTGAACTTTGAACATTTGCTACTTCAGTGTCCAAATTCACACGAAATGTGCGACAGTCAGCATGGTGTGTTTATGTGGTTCATGAAGATTCCATTAGAGGAATGTTCGCATATTGCATGTGACCGGCTCTCCTCCAATCAGCTTGGAGTATTTGATTATGCGAGGAAACGCACATGATTAGTTTTGTTTGAAATCTCTGCTTATTACAGACTTCTTATTAATAAGCTGGTTTTAATTTCCTAATCATAACTATATCATGCCTCCAATTCTATCTCTCAGCACACAGGAGTTCATTTTTTTAAGGTTTCTTTGAAATAATAATATATCAGATCTGTAGAACTGGTATTTTACAACGCTTTCTTTAAAGTTGCATTGTGGGTAACTGTGGTTTTATTACTGTAACAGTACTTTGCAGAAGAAGGCAACAAATTATACAGAACAGTGAAAGATTTCTCATTCCAAGTGCCAGAGGGCAGTCACACGATAGAACTAATGTCCAGCTTAGAGAAGATACCGACGTATTGTCAGCAGCTTCACTTTACAACCAAGTCACCCACCACAGGAAAGATAGCCACATTCACAAAGGTATTGTCAATAGCGATTCTGCTGCTTTGATATAGATTTCATTTGATATACAATATTTGGGTTAGTAGAAATGCATCTCCACTGGAAGCACATGTAAACCAAAAATTGTATTTATTGTATCCTAGACCATTAAAATATCTTTTATTTTGCCGATGTAATATCCAAAGGGTGTGCTATGCAACTATTGTGGCAGAAACATTGTCATAGAGCAGATTATTAACTTGAAAGTTATCTCTTTTTCATCTTTACCCCAGTACACAGCTGTCCTTATATATTTGTTATTTGTTTATTTCCTTAGGTTGATAGTACCATTAATGAAACAAAGAATCTCATGGCGGCCATATCAAGGGTTATTACAAACTGTTATTATCTGGCAACCACGGTAAGTGGACATCATTGTGTCGGCAGTTCTTTGTATATTTCCAAAAAAGTGACCATTTGAAACTAAAAAATTACATAAATAAGGGAACTTGGTTTGAAATATAATTTATTCTGACCAATATGTCAAATATGCACACCTACTGTAACATGTGATTACTTTAATTACTTGAATAATTGAGAAATAATTAAAAGTATCTATTATTGCGTCATTGCAATCATTTTAGTGTACCAGTACACTATATATTTTGTATATATATTTTGTGGTAAAATACTACAGGAGAAAAGAAAAACAACATTTTAAAAAGGAACTGTTCTAAAACACTTGCTTTCTGTACTATTCACTATAACTATTTATTTTTTTCTAGTATAACTTGACAGTGGCTAACTCACCTATCAGACAGTGGCGTGGCCCACCCCCACCAATTATGAACATGCATATGAATAACGACGACACAGAATCCGTTAAGAGCCATTACAGTACGCACTCAGAAGGAAGCCTAATGCGTTCCACGGCATTGCACAACAAACCAATGACAAGCTTTGGTGCGTTTGAAAGAATATAACATTGCATTGTGGTTAATTGTATTTTATAGGGGACTGGGTAATTCAGATTGTATATTAAAAGAAAATGCTGATGCATTATGGGAAAGTGATATTTCAAGGGGATGGGGTGTACACAGGAGTTTGGGTTTATGGTAAGATTAACTTTATTGAGTTTAAAGCATTTTACAACTCTTCTACAAACCATTACAGCATGTATATGTACATTGAATTTAAAATTGAAATACTAATTTAAAGGCAGGGAGATCGGTGCATGTTTCAATTTTCTGTTTCTCAACTCGGATTGGAAATGGTTCTCGGGTGTGCAGTGGATGTTGTCTTTACAATGAGGCTGAGGGTTCTGGTCACTCTCAATAAATTGTATTAATAAAGTATTAACAGGCTTCAAATTTTGAAAATGAAATTTACGCAGATTTGTTCACTGGAAAATGGTCAGACAACAGATTACCGTAATCCTAACTGTCCCTTCCCTACCCATGCTGCCCTGTAAATGTGCATTGTATTTGTATGAGAGTCTGCCATTTCTCAATGAACATTTAATTCATTCTGTAAATAACTTCACCATGACTGTCAACCATCTGGATTAACAATAAATTTATTGATCATATTTCATCAGCTTAAAATAAATTGAGAGTGGCTGGAAATGTATAAATAGATTTTTTTTTCCAAACTTTCCGCAAATTGTGCCTTTAAATTGACTTATTTGGTATTTTTCTATATAAAAATTGTAAAAATGATGTTAATTGTTTAAATATGGACTGCCATAATATATATGTAGATGGTAGACTGAAAATTGAATAACTAGGTGTTCATGTTGATAATCAAGCAATATGATTGGCTGTCAGGGCCCATGAACTACCTAAGTTTATGGAAATAAACAGGGAAATATTCTAATGAGCAATATTGAATTCTGTGAAAGCACCCTAAAAAAAAGATCACATTTTTTAGTCAAAACCGTTTCACAGAATAGAGGATATCAGGATTCTTTAACTATTAAATATAAGATATAAAACAAATTGGTTAGTTTTTACTCTCCTGTAATATCATACAACTTGAGACAATTTGTAGCTGTATTACCAAGCATTACTGACCTGTTTTGGTGAATATAAATATTTACTTTAAATACTTGGGGGGGGGGGGGGTTACTTGTCCAAATGGTCACTTTTGTACATATTTGAAAATCATGTACATTTTATTAGTGTAGCTAGGCGGCCTATTTAAGATGCAGTCCCTAGTTGTCTGGCTTTTGACCTGTTTTTCAACATGGAAACAAGCAGACTATATTATTTAGATTTCTCCCACTTGTTTCTCATTTGTATAACATGCACTAAAAGCAGACAAATATACATGATTGCCCAATGTACCTTTCATTGAATTAATTAAACTCATTTTGTCCCAGAGGGCGCTGTTCATGTCAATATGTACAAATTATAGTAAAATTACAATTTAAGTGAATTAGGTTTAATCAGGCTGAACTATTTGTAGTGAATATGGGGTATATATAAAATTCATGTGCAAAACTGTTGTGTATTCAGTGTTTTGGCATCTGCCGGGGTTTGGAGAGAGCTGGAAAAGATAAAATGGTGGTTAGAATCGGATATTTTTCTGTACTAATTTTTACTTACAGTGCAGAGAGAAGATGGTGATTTATTCCTTTACATAATGTAAATAGATCACAGAGAAAAAAACATTTATTATTTCATGCCTAGGGAGTAAGTAGCTTAAACAGAAAAATTACATAACTAGGGAGTCAACATCAAGATTTTTTTTTTCCTTACATTTTTTTTTTTTTTTTTTTCAATTTAAAAATTGAATTGAACAGTTCACAGTAGCAAAGGTTTTCGGTTATCAAGAAACACCACTATATTAATTGTGAATAATCATGAAATTACGTACAAGTACCATATGTAAATACAAGTGACTCACTGACATGATCAGGAAATTTGTAAATACAAATTTAAACTTGGGCTTAATCCATAGTGTGTACTTGTGATAGTTTCAGTGTCAGAGTTGGTCTCTGTTAAACATGGATGGATGGTAGATCTTCATAGTTGGACACCAGAGGGCGCTGTGTGTGCACTTGAAAAATACAAATGGATCTGTGCTTGCATGCCTTCCAACGCAATGTACAGATATTTAATATAATTTTGGTGTCACTAAAAATGTACATACAAGTCCAGTCAATCATTTATATGTGATTCCAGTTATAATAGTGTTAGTCAAATATTAATTTTTTCCTGTCATATACCTATTTCACATTTATAACTTGGTCCATGAATTGTGTATTTGAAAAAAAATGTTTCTGCCACAAATTACATGCAGTTTCCATGACAACATTGTGAGTTCAGATAGAGAGATGTCTTGTTGCTATGTGTTTTGGTGGCAAGTTCTGATAAATTGTTTATTTTAATATATAATTATTTTCCATTTTGCTTGTTTTTATTAGAGCTGGAAGGTCAAAGTTACTTAAACTTAACAGTTGCAACTGTTACACATTGGAAGTGCTAGTTCATCTCTTAATGGATACATTAAAAAATGAGCCACATGACTTATGTAAATGAATGTGCATATAATTCAGTTATTTCTGGTAGAGATTTTACTTCTCTTTAAAGATGCTCCATGTTTCTGCTATTATTTTTGTTTTTCTTGTATGTTAATTAACTTTTCCAAAAAGAAAGTTGCGATGGTGTGGAATAGATGTATGTTTTCATGTAGGACGCCATTTTGGATTTATCGCTGTCGAATCTTTCTCATTCTACCCAATCGCGGTACTGTGTCTTATATACAGCATGTGTAAAATACATTGATTGTTCACGCAACATTTGATCATGGACTCCATGACATCTGTGGTGTTTTTCCTTCAGCATTATATCAATACATGCCTAAATTATCATAACTGTCTTTCAAAAGGTAGACTGTATTATGAAATGGTAACATACCCCTATTCTACACCAAGTATCCCAGGTGTATCACAAATTTACAATGTGTAGTATGCAAGTCTAATATCTATACTTGCTTTCAGTACAAAGTTGTTGTCAATGTACACACACTCATTTATAAACTGTTTATTTTCAAGAACTGGACAGTAATATTTTGATTCAATATATTCTATAATTTTACTGGTAATAAATTAAAAAAAAACAATCTTTGTTCATTTCTTAATTCATGATCTTTATTAATGTATTAAACGTACCCCCCCCCCCCCCATTAGTCCTTGCACATTATGGTTAATATATATATATATACAAATTGGAGAGGTGACATCGGCTTTACTGAATGTGGAACATGAAACTGTACAATGCCTTTATCAGCTTTTAAAATCTCCATCTTTAGTTTTCAGTCTTGCATTGTGGGATTGAATAACCAGAATAGTGGAAGTCACTTCACATTGGGTAGCCTTATTGTGTTCTAACCCACCTAACCCAGGTATTATTATTCTGAGAAGTGTATAGAAGTGACATTATTGATCTGAACAAAATTGCAAAATCATTTCAATTGTCAGTTTATCAAAACTTCATTTTCCGTGTAATATACCTGAGATTTGTAACTATGGAAACCAAGATTGATGAACCAAACCCTGTCACTTGCATATTGTAATATTTGTTCATAAATGTGTAGTTACCATTTTTGTTTGTATGTGGAACAAAATAGTTGTATGCATGCCCGTACTTGCTATAATAAACATGTACTACCTTCAAGATTTACTGTCCAGATAAATAATATTTGAGGTAAACTTGTATTTGTTCTATTAGCATAAATGTACATTGTTAAATTTGTGAATTGTATTTATGAATAATATGCTTGAGCCATAGCTTTAATAATGGTTTAGAGCTGCTTGTTTTTATAACTGTCCAACTACATTTGCCATACATTTAAAACAATACTGCTTTAATGGCAATTCCCATATCTTCCAGTTTTAACAATTGTGCCATTCTGTAATTGTATTGGTTTCTAATAAACAAAAAGACTGATTTCATTTATGTTGTGTTTATCTTACAAATGATCGTCTTGTTGTACCTAAATAAAGGTTTGGAGAGTATTTGGAAACCCCGGAGTATTAACTATATGTATCAAGACTTTTCTGAAATATGTCTATATTAGGATCACCCACGAAACAATTAACCCATTTGGATTACCTTCATGAAATATCTAATCCAATCAAATTATTACATCTAGAAAACATCAAACCCATCCAGATAACTTCTATAAAACATACGACCAGTGCTTTGATATTATACATATAGGCACGTCAAGTACCGGTAGGCCTGCCTCAGATTTCTTGATGAATATTTCTGTCATTTTTGGCAAGAGTGATTGCTTTTATGATTATTTGGAGGTCCATTAACTTTGTAAGTCTCTGCAGTAATAACGACTAACATACAGGTCTGTTCCATAACAGAAAATTATAATTGCATTAAGTAAATACATTCATAACTTTTACTATGAAAGACAGTTTAAAAAATAAGTACGAGCTGTCATTACCGTAGTTGGCATTACTCAATTCCTTTTAAACAGCTACTGGGCTCATACATACATACATGCTTCAAAACTTCACACACCATTTTTAACATACCCGGGCATGGACCACATTCATTAATTGTCCATTTCTAAATCCATTTCAGTGCTGAAAATAAAAATCGAGCATTTCTGCCATTGCAGGATCAGATCTCATTATCTGGACAGAATTCATTCAACTTTGATACATACATTGAACATCGTGGGACCTCGATGCATGCAATATTTCTGAAATTGAATTGAATAATGTAGATTTGGAACCATATCTCAAGCCCTGGATGTATGCTGTTCATAAATAATCTTACACATTTCAATTCAAGATGGCGGAGTGGCGGCCATTTTAGTGCACATACAAATTTATTTCGGAAATGTAACTTTTTATTGTACAGTACTTATCATATACACATGTGACGGCTATATGACTATAGTAACTACAGCTTGCATCAGTATAAAGAGTATTTTCACCCACAATCCATATTAGCTTCATTTGTATGGTTCATGGCAGCCAATCATGAACCCCTAACAAGCGTGATAAAACAACTGATTAAACGAGTTCATTATATTTTATATATGGAAAGACACATCACATGTTGTGTTTTGATACACTTTTCACCAGTTTTTGATTTAGTGTATGTTTATCAACATACATTTTGATGTAAATGTAAATATTCAGACAAAATTTAACAATGTTGCAAAACTCTCCTTAGCTGAATTGG